GGGGGGGGGGGTGCAAGGCGAGCGTGCGAATGAATGTAGCGGTCGGAGGCGGAAGCTTCGCGGGGGCGTCCTTCACGTGGTATCGCTCTTGTGGGAGCTATCACGGTAAAGGCGAAACTGGTGTGTTTCCGCGGTACGTAAATGGAGCACGATTACGGTAAAGGCGAAACTGGTGTTTCCGCGGCACGTAAATGCAGCACGAGGAGGGTCAGGAGGCAATTCCGATTGCAGGAAGGGGTGGTGTTGCCTTCATTTGTTGACGTCGTGTAGAATATTTTTGCTTTGCATTGGTGACGACGAGAGAGAGAAACTTGTTCGGTTTCAGGTTCGTTCTCTGCTGTAGACGGGGAATCAGGGCACGGCGGGTGTGTGTGTACTGAATGAAGTAGAGACGTGTGGATGCGAGAGGGCGGTTTGGTGTTTCAAAGAGGTTCAAACACATAAATTACGAGAAGGAAGATCTGTCTCATCTAGAAAGTACCATATGAGTGTTCTCCGAAAGCCCACCAGCCGCCTACCGATAAGCACTACCGCCCACGAACAACCGTTGATGCTTGCATCTCCAACCTCCTTTTTGTGCGTGACGTACATGGGCACTGCTTCCGCCGCCGCCGTGCTCGCGCATCGGCAAAGGACAAGCAAAAAATCAAGTCAACCTCTGCGTGTTCACTCTTCCCTTGTTGGTTCCCTATCGTGAATCTAAATCGAGCGTCATCAGACCTACCTGCCGTGTACACCACGGACGATCGTTCTCTTTCGGCCCTCTCGACGAAAACAAACCCGAACGCCAGAACGACTTGGGGGGAGAAAAGAAGACGGGACACCCAATGGCAAAACAATGAACAAACTCCACAGGAGCGTCCGACTTGGTGGAGGGGGGGATGGACAGGTAAGGTCAGGGCGAAAATGTACGGGAGACACTTCAGTCCATCGGACCAGGACGTTCAGCCGATTTCACCCTGAAGTGGTAATTTTCAAGGACCCGATTTTTGTTGTCCCTCCATAACTTTTGACTGAGAGCGAGTAAAAGAAAAAGAAAAACAGCTTCGGAACGACCGCGGCAAGGTGCAAAAGAGTAGCGAGTCGCCAAAAAAAAAGGAAAAAATGAGAAAAAAAGAAAAAAAGATGCTCGCGGCGGGTCTCGAACCCACGAAATTGGCCCTAGAGCAACTTTTCCCCCATATATGTTGCTAATCCTTTTTATGCTTTTCGCACCAAACCACCCACACGTGCACAGGAACGCCCTCAAACACTATGCAAATGCCTCTACCGCACCTATAGCGTACATACATCACAAAAATTGGCCGTTTTCAACAAAAATGTTCCATTTTTGTACAACATTCCCACCAGAAACACGGAAAAAATCTGAACAAATACAGCTCAATGAACAAGAATGCGCCATCGACTCTACGGCCTCCATTCCTTCGGGGTCGGGCGCCTGTGCGACTTGTACTTCTTGTCCGTCTTCTTGCCCTCAGGCCCTTGCACACGCGTCTCGCGGTACATGAGGGCGTGTGTGTACGCCTTCTTGCAGTAGCCCTGGACTACCGAAACAGCCTGTCTATCCTTCTCTGGTCTAAAACTCAGCGGCACGTTCTTGCGCAAGCATTCCAACGAATATTTGCAGTTCTTTCGAGTCCAGTCCTTCGCTCGGCCCCAAACAAGCTCGATGGGGTTACACTCGCAGTGGTACTTAGGAAGCATGAGACAGGCCCCCCCGTGGCGCTGCATCAACAGCACCAGACTAGAATCAACTTCCTTGAAGTCCTTCTGCTCTCCCAAAACGTGCTCCATGCTCTTGCTGAGGTCCTGCTTTTCGCCCGAGCCCCCCGTCTTACTCATGCCTTTGACCAGGAGCCCCCTCTCCCACAAAATCTGCCGCATTCCTTTCAACTTTCCGACATATTGCGCCGGCTTGAGATGCGGGGAGTGGAAGGGGGGATCGTCCCCCCTCCGAAACATCAAGTAAGTGCTGTACCGTGCCGGCTGGGAGGTTCGGGGTACCTTCGAGGATGGTCACGGGGTCCATCGGCGCAAGCTCTTCTCCGTTCCTCACACCACCGACACCCAAGTTCATTCTCTTCACCGACGGTGCGCCGACCTCCATGCAGTCATGACAGGACGACCAGTCGAACAGGCCTACAGGCTTGTGCTCAGGGTAGAGAACTGTGAACATGTCGAGCACGTCTGACATGTGGTCCAGCATCCTGAGCCCGGTCCAGTATCCCTCCTTGTTCTTGCCGTACTCGAAGAGGTGGTAGGACCAGTACTGTCCATGCTCGTCTTCATGAAGCATGTCGATGGGGCGGAACTTCTCCACCTTCACGTTTTCCCCCCGTCGCTTCGCGGCAGCTGTGGCGGCGCATCGTTTCCTGCGGTTGCGCTCCGCGTCCTGGATCTGTGCCCGCGACGCCGAGAAGAAGCCAACGTTGTGGATTATCGTCCCCGACACCATGATCCCCTGGCCTTGTGACTTCTTCACGGGCACATGCTGGCCGTCCCGATACCACGCGCGCCTCTGGTCGTCGTTGGCTNTGACTTCTTCACGGGCACATGCTGGCCGTCCCGATACCACGCGCGCCTCTGGTCGTCGTTGGCTGCAAATACAAGCAAGAAACCGACAATTTAAGGGCGGCAGATGTGGCGCTGTCAACATGTGTGATTAAATTTAAAGTCCCGCAATTGAATTGCGAGCAAGATTACTGTTCGCGCCCGGAATTTACACCTAAATTATCGAACCCGCTTTGCTCCGTTTAAAACTAACCTCGAAATATGCTCTCGTCCTGGTAGAGAAGCATGGCCCGCCTCCCGTCAGGGTAGGTTTTCTTGTTCTGCACTCTGCCTTGCAGGTCTTCGGGCAAGTCTGCCAGCAGCGCAGACTCGAGATCATCGACACAAACCCAGACACCACCATCCGGCAAGCGCTCGGTCTCCTCCACCGTCTCGACGTCAACACCCCAGACGATCGCTTCATCCTTGCCCATCGGAATCCATACCTCCATGTAGTCGCGGGTGTCGAACAGCGCCGGGAGGAACTCGTCGTGCCGGTATTCAAGGGTCTTCTTGTCGTCGTGGCCATCGAAGTACAGCCCCTTTTTGCCGTCGTGGTATTCGCATCCCATCTTCTTCAGCCACTCCGTTGCCGTAGAAAGGGAGATTTGGCGNAGTCTTCTTGTCGTCGTGGCGCATCGTTTTTTTCAAGGGTCCTCTCGGGAATATTCCCGCGGGAAAAATACCGCGGTATTTCCACGGGAATGGGAAATGGGAGCGTTCCCGTGATAAATCGCAATTCCCATTCCCATCCAAACCGTTACCAAGCAAATGACCGCTTCCCATTCCCATCCAAACCGTTACCACGGAGATCATATCCCGTTGTTCCCACCCAACCAAATACCGTGGAAAAAGTCGAATTCCCGTGGCTTTTGGTTCCCACCCATACAAATACCGTGCACAAATTCAATTGCCAATACCGTACGGGAATGTTAAACCAATTCCCGTCATGTATATATGTACTTCAATACCGTGGAGCAAGGTAGCTTAGAGGGTTGCATATACTCCTCAGGCGGGTGCCAGGTCGGGGGTTCGATTCTCTGTCTCTCCCTTCTTTTTTTTCCCCCTTTTTTTATTATTCTGTCAAACGAAAAGAGAACCTTTTCAACGAAAAAGAGAACCCTTTTGTTAACACACCCGCCCGCGGAGGGCGAAACACAAACACAACACCAAGAGTGTGAACTGCTATAGACACACAAGAGGGTGATGAGCGAGGTGAGCGAGGTCCAACATGTTGATGCTGAGGTGGATGCTCCTGACGCCGATTCTTCGATCGGTGGTGGTTCAGCAGCACCTGTGGCTGACGATGGACGTGTGGTTCCGCAGCTTGACGGTGCAGCAGAGACCAGCACGCTCCACTCGAACAACGGGACGCAAGTGGTTGTCACGATTGTCCCACAGACAAGTGGGAAGAAGACCAAGAGGTCGTGGGTCTGGCAGGTGTGTCGCGAGTTCAAGCCTCTCATCAACGGAAAAAACGTGTTCTGCATGGCATGCAAGCATCTCATGCTGTGGAAACCAGCTGATGGCACGGGCGGCATGAGCAGCCACTACAAAAAGAAACACCCCGCCCTGTACAAGGCGCTGATGGACGACCACACCACCACCGCTCAAGGGAGAGCCAACGTCGCCGCGGCCGTCGGTGAGTGGGTGGTTGCGCAAATATGTGTATTGTCTCTCATTGCTGCGGGTACAATCTGGTGTTAGAAAAAAAAACAAAAAAAAACAGAGTGTGCGAGAACAAAAAATCACTCTCTCTCTCTGTGCTCCTTCCTCTCTGTGTGGTTTGTTGTTCGTTTTGGTTTTCAAGTTTTTTTTTTTTTATATATATTTTTTATTTTTTTAGATTCTTCTAGAGAAGAAGGTGTCAACTGAGACGCCCTCCACTTGGGTCCCAAGTACATGTAATTAATTTATAAATTTGCAGCTATGTTTGTAGTTTGTAGTTGTTTTATTGTCTTGCGTAGGATTTATGTTCTCATTGCGCAGTTTAGTACAGAGTTGTTATGTAGGTAATATGTATCGCATATCATGTATTATTGAAATCTTGTTCATTTCATTTGCGAGTATTGTTCATCTCCAAGACAACACTACACATAGTCCAAACCTGATCTCTCCCGGATTTCTTTTTATTTGCCTGTGTGTTCGCTGCACATTTTTTGTGTTGGCTGTTTTCAAATATAGCGTTCGATCCCAAGCCCACGGGAAAGGCGACGGGCAAGGGCAAGGGCAAGGCCGGGTCGTCGACACCATCCATCAAGGACTACATGCAAACCGGCAACCCGCTGCTTGCGTCGACGGAAGCGGCGGCCAATCGCCGGTTCGTCGTGTGGTGCGCCATCAACATGAGGCCGCAGAACATGCGCTACGACGATGGCTACAAGCTCCACATGGGCATGCTATGCCCCAAGTACGTAGAATCGACGATGTCCGACGCGACCTTCAACTCCATCCTGTCCACCATCTACACCGAGACATGCGACGCAGTCAAGACGGGCTTGCGTTTGCACCGGGAGTCGTGTGTGAAGCTTGGTTACGTCGGCCCTTTCCTCGGTGCCCAGCTGGACCTCACGACCGTCGCCAACGAGGAGTACATCACGTTCTCCGTGTCCTACATCGCTGAAGCCGCAACAACGATCACGCGCGTCGGGTTGGCAACACGAGCTTTTCCTGGCTCTCATACCGCTGCCGACATCGAGCCATGGATCGAAAAGGCGAGCTTTACAACCTTCAAGTTGGTTTGACGTTTAGTACGGAATTCGGTATCAATGTCAAATGCAATATAGAACTAGTTGCATATGCCCACCCAAGACTGTTACCCAGGTTTTTGGGTTTTTCTTGTCGCGTTGAAATGCCTCGCGTTGCTCGTGTGTGTGTGGTTGTGGTACACCAGTTCTTGTGTTTTGAAAGGGGAGTTCCCAATGTTCAATTTTGCAATGCGGATTTGTATTTGGTATTTGGTATTTTAACAGTTATTCTTTTGTATTTTGTATTTTGCATTCTACATTTTATATTTTGAAACCAACTGACTTTGTTTGGATCGGCCTTGTGTTTCTTTGTTTGGATCCGCCTTGTGTTCATGCAGCTGACGACGGAGTTTTTCGCGGACATGATGGGAGAAAACGTGCAGCCGAAGGACGTCTTCCTTGCTTTTACTGTAGACCAGGGCGGCAACGTGGTAAATGCTTGCCGAAACTTGGATGTTGAAGTTCTCAAGTGCAACGCCCACCGGCTCAACTCCGTCACGATGTGGGCCTTGGGGATAAATGGTTCCATCAGAACGGGCGAGAACCCAGCCATGGAAAAGCTGATGAAGAGGCTGGCGGCGGTAGTAGGGGTGTTCAGCCACTCCGCGGTCAACAACGACGAGCTCAAGGACATCCAGAGACTGCAAGAAGAGTTCCAGATCATCTACGAACTAATCAGGCGCAACGACACGAGGTGCGTATAATACTCCGTACCCACATAATCTGTGTTTGATATTACATATTACGATATTGCATCGTTTCGTGTTTTGTTTCTTGTTGTGCAGATCAATTAGCAGCGCCGTCGTTGAATACCCTGCACGTGGGTATTTAAACCTTAAAATCAGAAATAAATAAATACATCATTACCACGTGAAGCAGGTTCTGTTATTGTTCGGGTTGTGTGTCATAATATAATCGGAATGTGTTGTGTATTGATTGTGTACCAACAATTGTACCCAGCGCCTAACCCCTACCACCTCTCTCTTCAATTCCCATGATCTTTCTCTTATCCACTGACAACCACCAGGTGGGCCAGTCAACACGCTATGATGGTTCGGCTACTCAAGCTGAAGAAGGCAATCGTGGAGTACTTCAGGGACAACGAGAACAACAACCGGAAGTTGTCCTCGCGTGAGTGGACGGTCACGAACGAGGTTTGCAGCCTGCTGGACGTCGTGGCGGAGGTAACCGTCAAGATCCAAGGCGCCACCGACACCCACATCAGCCAGACGATGTTCAACATGCGCGAGATCAGGGAGATCTTCAGCGGAGACGTGTACAAGATCCGCGTACCAGACCAACCCTACAACGACGACAGCGTGTTGAAGGAAAAAATCCAGGTGGACGACCTGATGACCGAGACGTGTAAGGTACGGGAGGTTGTGCTCTCAAGGATGGAGAAGAAAGAGCTCGGGGCGGCAAGAATGCCCTTGGAGCGCATCTGCGCGCTGCTAGACCCGAGACGGAAGGATTGCTCGGACGAGCATCTCGTCAACGGCAGCGCAGATCTGAAGGCCTCTGCGATTGCTGACGTTAAGAGCGTGGCCAAGACGTTCGCGGAGGCCGATCTCGGGTCGGCGTCCTCATCCGCTGGGAGTGGTGGAGCGGGCGGCGGCGGAGAGTCCAACCAGCCTGCGCCCAAGAAGCAGAAGGTCCTCTCGGACCTGGAGGAAAGGCGACTCCAACGTCTCGCCAAGTCGAAGGCAGCTAGCGCCGGTAGAGCTGCACCGGCGGCAGTTTCTACAGCGAGGCGGGGCGCGATCGTTGAGCGGGAGCTGCGGATGTACTTGGCGGAAGACCCCGCCGAGGAGGAGTACGACTTCTCGCTTCTTGAGTTCTGGCAGCGGAGGAGCAAGCCCAGAACATGCGCCGAAACGGGCGAAGTCGAGCCAGGCTTGCCGCATTTGGCGCTCATCGCTCGGTTGTTCCACGGGATCGAGTCTACTAGCTGCCAGGCAGAGAGGAACTTTTCAGCCCTTGCGTTCCTGATTGGCAGCCTGCGCAGCTCTATGCTACCCGGCAAGGTAGAGCGACTGATGTTCCTCCGACTCAACAGGCTGTACATCCCAGAGGTCAAGGCCCTTCACGACGCCGTTGAGGCCAACAAAGCAGCGGCAGCTCGGTGCCAAGAGAAAGTTGCACAAGTCGAGGCGGAAGCAGCTGGCGACGCTGTCGTCTTGACACTCTAATATTGTGTTTAAGTGTTGTTTTACTCCAGTATTGTTTTTGAACTGCGGAACTGCTGTTGGCGAATAATATAGTGTACGGGCGGTATCATGTGGTTTAAGCATGCGTGTGTGCGTTGTCGCCGGTAATCTGGTAGTCTTCGTCTCGCAGATAAGTGTGGTGCCTTCGTCGGTCTTCACGTTTCGGTAGTGATTGTATTTCGAGGCGTAGCTCTAGAACTAGATCGGGAAATAGTTCGTCGTCTTTCGTCTTTCGGTAATTTGACAAGGAGCGCAGAGATATTTCGCCTGTAATCTCCAAACAATTGAACAAGAGAAGAAAACACACTTTACAGGTTCACTCCTTTGTGGTTTTGTTTTCTTCTTGTGACACAATATTTGGGTGTCACACGCACTGACAAGGAACCCTGTACTTCGCCGTGTGGGGGGGGTGCTACCATCCAACGTTACCGTGCATTACCGTGGTGGCCAGTTCCCACCCAACCAATTCCCGTGGTTGCTGGTTCCCGTACGGGAATTCCCGCGGTGGCCAATTCCCACCCAAATATTACCGTGCATTACCGTGGTTGCTGGTTCCCGTATGGAACGTTCCGTGGTGGCCAGTTCCCACCCAAATATTACCGTGCATTACCGTGGTGG